ACAAACAAAGACGGAAAACTGCTCGTTAACCCTGTAATGCCAAATGTGTCATATTTGATTCATACAGTTTCTGAAAAGTTTTGCGTCTGACACCTTTTGCATAATTTAATGGTAAAAACGTTGCTCAAAATCCTATTTTACACAATCAGATACACCTGATAACAGGGGGCAGAAGACTACACAAAAAATAATCTTGATTTATCACATAGTAATAAATTATTAATATAAAAAATGTATTTCTGTTTTTTCTTTTTACATATTTAGTTAAAAGGCCAAATAAGGAATTTGAACCAAAAAAAAGTAATTTTCTGTTTTGTTTTATTCTTGGATCAGGCTTTAAAGGGTTAAACTTCTGCTGTGAAAAGGCCTGGAAAACTGGAAAACTAGCCTCAAAAAGTAGGCTTATTTAATATGTGAACCAGGTTTATTGTTTTCAGGAGCTTAAAAAAACATATAATGTTTTACCACAGCGATTTAGTTAAATGTTACCAGTTCACCTTTTTGGAAGGAAGCCCAAAAAGGACAATCTTAGGCCAAGGCTTGAATATTATTCTTAACCTGATAAATCATTTTTTCCTGCTGATTAGACTTACAGTAGTTTCTTTTTCTTTTTCTTTTTGCAAAGATGCAAAAAGGAAAAGAATATCCTCATGACTACACACAGCCATTTACATTTTAATTATTTGTAGCACAGGCTAAACAATAGCTAGCTACATTAAATATGCATGGGGGCTTAATGGCTCTGTGTGCCGTGCAGCAAAGCGTAATTTGTCTTAAAAACCTTTGTTCTTTGGTGTCTCTGACTCATTGGCTGGTCATTTGTTGACCCTGCATCTCGAGGCCATGTTCCCCTTTCCGAACAAGCACCTGGAAGATTTATAAGACTCATTTTGTGCACACACAGTCGCAACTGTTTACGCGCCCGTGTTTCTGCGACTGTCGGACATTTTTATGTCAAATCAGACGTCATTATTCTCATTATTCTCATTATTCTCACATTTCAATTGTTCGTTTGTACATTCACATCTGTATACATACTTTTGATATTTGTAATTTTATGAGTTTTAAATCCATATTTCTATTCTCAGATCTATATTTTTAAAGATTGTACTTTTTAGTTTTATATTTTCTGTTCTATATTTTTATTCCTACATTGTATTTCCTCGTGTTGTGCACCAAACACCAAGGCAAATTCCTTGTAAGTCAAAAACCTACTTGGCAATAAACCTGATTCTGATTCTGATTCTGATTCTCAGTCCAATTTTAGACGTGGTGTTAGAATTGGGCTATAATTACTCACTTTAGCATAGTATGCCATTACTTAATCCATGTAAACGACTGATTGTCTTATTCCTTTTTAGATTCATATTAGAATTGACTTTTGTGGTAAACTCTCTGGCTGTGCCTCCTCCTCTTCCTCCTCTTCCTCATCTCTCAGTTACAGTAGATACTCGTCTTCAAGTTCAGCATCCACACACACACTTTCTTATCACATTACACCAAAACCTGCATAAATTAGGACCTGGCCTGTTCATTGAAAATCTATTAGCTCATTCCTCTGATTCCTTTCCGATCTGATTTACGTGGACTCCTCAGGGTGCTTGTACTATTCGGTCTTGTGTAACCTTGTTTCCTCTCATTTATTCTGCACACCGATGAAATAATACAGATACAGAGATGCAACACAGAAGTATTTTTTGCGGATAACGAGGCTTCTGCTTGTGTTTTGATGCAGGTGAGCCGCTGTGAGAAGTTCGGATACGGAGTGATGGTGACTCAGGTGGCAGCCACTGCTCCAGGAGTTGCTGCTCTGCAAGCTTCAGGTGCCAAAATCCCATCCATCCATCCATCCATCCATCCATCCATCCATCTATTTATCCATCCATCCATCCATCCATCCATCCATCCATCCATCCATCCAT